AAGCCAACAGTCAAGTCAAGCATAATTCCCAGTTTCCAATTGTAGTGATCAAAAGTTTTATAATGAACCTTTTCTATACTTCAAGCCTCAAGTACAGAAAATTGCATTAATTACGATTCTTGGTTTATTACATTCTCAGCATTGGTTCACAAATGGCCTGCTTTTAAGCACAGGAGTCCCTGGGTGGTACAAATTGTGACCATGTTCAGCTGCTAAAGGTTAGAAGTTCAAATCTACTAAGAGAACTACGAGACACCAGGGAAGCAAGGCCTTTTGATCTTTCCTTCATTACTGCTGATTTCATTTTTCATACTTTGGTTGTCGTTATTAAATGTCATCAAGTCAGTTCCGACTCATACTGACTTTGTATACAACTTCCAAGGATCAGCTGGTGAGTTTGAACCACTGACCTTGTGGTTCAAACTGACCTTGTGGTCCAGTCATAGTGGCCCAAGGAATAGAACCACCCATAGTATTTTTAATAGGTACATCTTTACTGAAGCAAACCACATCTTTCTCTCACAAAGCCGTTGCTAGGTTCAAACTATCAACCTTTCAATCAGCAGCAAAACTCTTTATCCCCTGCACAACCAGAGTTCTTTTCATATTGTTTAGTTACATCTAGAACTTGAAAAAACTTAAAATATCTTATAGGGTTAAGTGCCATCAGTTCCAACTCATAGCGACCCCTGTATAGGGTTTCCAAGGAACGGCTGGTGAGCTTGAACAGGTGCAGCACATGAACCCACAATGCCACACCAGGGCTCCTTTTTGATAAGGTGGTTGTTGTTAAATGCCATCAAGTCAGTTCCGACCCATAGCAACCTTGTATAGGGTTTCTGAGGAGTAGCTGGTGAATTTGAATAGCTGACTTTGTGGTTCAAATGGCTTTGCAGTCCAGCACATTAACCCACAGTGCCACACCAAGTTGTTGTTGTTAGGTGCCCGAGTCAGTACCGACTCATAGTGACCCTATGTACAACAGAACTAAACACTGCCCAGTCCTGGGTCAACCTCACAATTGTTGCCACGCTTGAGCCCATTGATGATGCTGCTTTGACGGTCCATCTCATTGGGGGTCTTCCTCTTTTTCTCTGACTCTCCATCTTACCAAACATGATATCCTTCTCCAGAGACTGGTCCCTCCTGACAATATGTCCAAAGTATGAAAGACGAAGTTTGGCCATCCTGGCCTCCAAGGAGCACTCTGGCTGCACTTCTTCCAACACAGATCTATCCATTGGTTCTTTTGGCAGCCCATGGTACTTTCAATATTCTCCTCCAACACCATAACTCAAAAGCATCAATTCTTCTACAGTCTTCCTTATTCATTGTGCAGGTTTCGCATGTATGAGGTTATTGAAAATACCATGGCTTGGGGTCAGGTGCACCATAGTCAAGCTGACATCTTTGCTCTTTAACATTGTAAAAAGGTCTTGTGCAGATTTGCCTAATGCAATACGTCGTCTGATCTCTTGACTGCTGCTTCTGTGAGTGTGGATAATTGATCCAAGAGGAATGAAGTCCTTGACAACTTCAATCTTTTCTCCACTGATAAGAATGTTTATTGGTCCGCTGGTGAGGATTTTTGTTTTCTTTACATTGATGCAATCCATACTTTGATCTTCATCAGTAAATGTTTTAAGTCCTCTTCAGTTTCAGCAAGCAAGATTGTATCATCTGTGTATCCCATGTTGTTAACGAGTCTTCCTCCAATCCTCATGCCACGTTTTTTCATATAACTGAGCCTCTCGGATTATTTGCTCAGCATACTGTTTGAATAAGTATGGCGTAAGAACACAACCCTGTTGCAACCTTTCTGAATTTTAAACCAGCGTTCGCATGTTCTGTTCGAACAACTGCCTCTTGGTTTAGGTACAGATTTCTCATGAGCACAATTAAGTGTTCGGGAATACTCATACTTCACCACACAGTAGTCTGCTGAATATTTTGAGATGGCTTTCGCTTTGTACTTGTCAGGTTCAGCTCTCCTGTGTCACTGTGGTTTATTAGTTTTGATTCCCATATAACATGGATTAGATTTTATTCATTGCCCTCAATAGGAACTTGAGTTGTCCCAGGTTTCTGCGCTTTTGTAAACAGTGCTATGAAATTCTTGTATATGTCTCCATGAAAGCTTTCCTAGGATACTTAGTAAAATTTTTAGATGACAGATGTGTAAAAATTCAACATTAAAAGGCAGTACCAAACTTTTGAACTGAATCAATTTGTGCTAACATCAACAATCCACAGAAGACGTGGGACCCTTCCAACACAGGTTGCACTTCCTAAGTTTTGCCAGTTGAATGGCATAAAATGTTCTCAATGTAGACTTAATTTGCATTGTTATTTTTCCCAGTTTGTAACTTGTCTTTTCCCTTTCTTTGGTTATCATCTTTTGAATGAAAAATTCTAATTTACAAGTTCAACTGATCAGTATCTATTTTTTAAATGAATGATTTCAGAAGTCGTCTTCTGTGCCTGGGTCTAAGTAGTCATATTGTTTATTTTTCCCCCTCATGAGAGTTTTAAAGTTTTATGCTTTACATTTAAGACCTATAAGGATCAAATCTCACCTTTTTTCCACGAACAATTGCTCCAGTTCTATTCTTCAACAGTTCCTTTTCTCCTCAGGTGGTATGTCACTTCCCCCTTACACCAAAGTTCAAGCCATACTTTAATCCGTTTTGGGGAATGCCAGTATAGTCCATTGAGAAATCTGCCCCTTGACTTATATCCAAGTATTTTAACTGACATCGTTTCATAATGAGCCCTAACTAGGACTTTGAACGGGTCTCTTTTATTTGACTCCTTTATTTGCATTGCCCTCCCTCCCCACTAAATCAGAATCCTGCATTTTAACAAGAGACCCAGGTATACGCCTAAGAATCACCTGGGACCTTGTAAGGATGTAGATTTTGATTCCATACATTTTGGGTGTTGTTAAGTACCTTTGAGTCAGTTACAACTCATAGCAACCCTATATAGGGTTTCTGAGGAGCAGCTGGTGAGTTTGAACTGCCAATCTTGCAGTTCAAATCGACCCTGTCTATCAAATCTATCCTTCAGTGCTACACTAGGACTCCACATTTGGGGTCTAATGGCACATTCCCTACAGGGGGTGGAGCCGAAGCCTAGTCCTAACACCACATAGGGTAATACGTCTCCTCCCAGCTCCTTTTTGGAGGGCTCTGTCCTGGCCCTCTATCATTTAGAATGATCTTACCACGCTTAATGAAAACCGTACTGAAATTTTATTGGAATTGCTTTGAATCTGTTTGAGGAGAAAAACAAGATACCCGTATCACACTGACTTCCTATCCATGAACATGTCTATATCTCTCTCCCAATTTACTTAAGTCATATTATCTTTACGGTTTTGGTTTTATTTTCTTCCTATCACGCCCTGTCCCCAAGTTAGCATACTGTTAATTTCCGATGGTTCCCAGAAACAGTTCAATGCATAGATTGATCTTTGATGTAAGGGAGAAGTGAAGCAGAAGGCAACTGGTATCTATTACTCTAAATGGTGTCTTTGGGTTTTCTAGTTGTCACTGGAGTTAAAAAAAAAAGCAACTCATTTCTGAAAACTAACCTCACATCTAGTACCCTAACTCCTGAAATAGCTAGCAAATTCTCTCCAGGTTTGCGTGGGTTTTCTGTAAAGCGAATCACAATTCCCAAGACCTGAGTGCTGTCTCTTCCTTCATCTTGTCTCAGCCCCCTGGCTAGACTCCCTGATACAAGGATATCATGACAACAGGCAGTCAACCTTCATTCCTTCAACTCCGACTCACAGAGACCCTTTTGTGAGTAGCAGCTGGTAGGTTTGGACAGATGACCTTGTGGCTCCCAATCCAGTGCCTATCCTACAACTCCACACCAGTGTTTTGATTTTTATTTACATTGAAATGATCAGTTTAAGGAAATTCCCTCCTTCGCCTAATTTACTGAGCAATTTTTATCACAAATGGGGTAGAATTTTATTATTTTCTAGGAATTTATTGAGCTGGCCACTTGGTTGTCTGTCTCTTGTTTTGTGAATGTGATAAATTACATTTGCAGATTTTAACACTAAATCATTCTTATGGATAAGTAATATGTAAATAAATTTAAACCTAGAAATATGTATTACAAAATGTACTTCATCTGCGTCCTGTAATACTTCTTGTTTGGAAGGGTTGGCTGCTGGGCACATTTGGAAACTTCAGGGCAAAATAACCTCGAGGAATGTTTGTACTCCACAGTTCTCCAAATGTCTGAATTCTGCTCTTTCAGTTGCTCTTAATTTTACAAGGAAAATAGCTTCTATTAGATACTAATGAAGTATGACCGAGTGTAGAAAAGGGAATCAGACAAAGGCTACAAAAGATGACATCTAAGTAACAAAAAGCCATTCTTGGCTTTCACATAATGTTGACATCTTCAATTTACAGGAATCTAAGATTACCGATGACCATTTATCATCATTAAGTGCTGACAAGTTGGTTCTGATTCAGTGACTAAGGAGCGGCTGATGGGTTTGAACTTCAGACCTTGAGTTAGAGGTCCAGCGCTTATCTTACAGCACATCAGGACTCCTATACTTCATGGTTGTGGTTGGTTAAGTGGTGTCGAGTTGATTCCGACTCAGTGATCCTGTACAGGAGTACTGGTGGGTTTAAAATGCCCACCTTGCAGACCTTTTGGGTAGCAGTCCAGGGTTTATTCTACAGCACCACACCAGAACTCACATCATTAATTTGTCATATATAGAAGTGAGATGTAATATTGTTAAAAAGTTGTTGTTAAGTGCTGTCAAGTTGGTTCCAACACACAGTGATCCTGTACAGGGTTTCTGAGGAGCAGCTGGTGAGCTTGAACCGCCAACTTGCTGTTCAAAATGACCTTGCAGTCCAGTGCATTAACAAAGGCACACGAGGACTCCATTACAAAATTAAACAAGTTCAAAACTAAAAGTCAAAACAAACTACCATAAACAATCATTGAGAAAAAAGTCATACAAGATACGTTCTGCTTTTCCTTTTTATTTAATCAAAGACTGGTGAATAAACATAAATACAGCACAATTACTTCAGATCATTCTTCATATTGTATACACAGACTGATGAACGTATTCTGAAAGAAACCTGTAGTCATTAATGAAAACGCATACAGTTTTCCTTTCCCTCGCTCAAAAGAAAAAAAAAAAAAAAAAAAATTTAAACCACACAAACTTAGAATCTCATCAGCACACACACTCCTGTGACAAATGATTCAGACATAAATAGTGGGTGCAAAGAAACTATCTGCTAATGTATGTATAACCTTTGTTAATGAAAAAAACAGAAGCAGCCAAAATGATTAAGATACATTCAGTTACTGATAACTAGTGTGCCCCAAGGGGCAATATCAAAAGAGAAAATCGTGCTGCAGAGAAAAGCTATATATACATACACAATGAGAAAATAAACTGCAAGATTAATGCATGCATGTTTAATACTGGAAAAAAATCACAGCCCTCCAAAATTTCTCCACATTTGTTATAAAAAGCCCTCTGCACTCAACTAAAATTAAAATGATCTTAAAAGGATAATACTTGTAAAGTTTACTTAAGTCTTTTCAGCCACAGAAACTGCAATGGAAATAAATGTTCAGAGTCATTTTCAAAACAAAACAAAAATCTATTCTTCTGATGACATGCATGATTAAAAGGTCTATGCAAGATACATTGCTCTACATTCCCAATGACTAGGAAAAAAAGCTCAAGTCAATTTTTAGTTTGCAGATGGTCAAAGGATTTTGTATTCCAGCAGGAGTTCAAATCTTCTGGATCTTTTCACCAACGACTACTGGATTTTCTTTTCGGATTTTCTCAGCAGCATCAGCTTTGTAATTGTAAGAGCAATTGTGTACATCTGAGTAACGGTGCGCCCCACAGTAAATATTTCCACATCGGCATTCAAACCCTGAGAGGAAGAGTACACACACTTGAGTTGGATGGAAGGTCTCAATATTAAGTTCCTTAGCCAAATTAGTGTTCAACAGAATCATGTATTTAGAGTCGTAATCTAAAGCATCATTCTATTTAAGCTAACAGTCTCACAATCTAATAACATTCTTAAAATGTATTAGCTGATAGCTTCATTTCTTGCTCCCGTTATGAATCCCCACACCAAACCCACTGCCATCAAGTCAATTCTGACTTACAGTGAGTGACTCTATTGTTGTGAAGTGCCATCGAGTCAGTTCTGACCCATAGCGACCTTGTATAGGGTTTCCAAAGAGCAGCTAGTGAGCTTGAACCACTGACCTTGCAGTTCAAATGACTTTGCAGTCTGACTCATTAGCCCATAGCACCACATCAGGACTCCATAGTGACTCTATAGGACAGAGTAAACTGCTCAATGGGGCTTCCGAGGCTGCCAATCTTAACAGAAGCAGACTGCCTTAGCTTTCTCTCACTGAGCGGCAAGTGGGTTAGATCAGCTGACCTAGAGGTTTTGCAGCGCAACACTTAACCTAATGTGCAACCAGGGCTCCTAGGACCTACAAAAATGGCTTTTTATTAGAGAACAAGTCATAATCACGTTTCTGAGCGCAGGTTTCTTCATCTGTGATACGACCAGAATTATTTATTAAAACTAAACTGCTCAACTGAAAAGGCCAAATATTTCAAATCCAAGTATCATGGCGTAAAAATAAGCATATTGTCAATAAAGCAACCTTAAAATTTAATTAAGACCAAATAAAATCTTTGCAAGGCTGCCAATAAATAACACATTAGCCTTCTTCGTTTTCCTTGGCCCGTCTCCAATGTAGATGTGAATTCTACTTTGGCTGAGTAATATATCAGGCACAGGATCTAGACTCAGGCTGTCCAAGTCTGAATATATTTACTACTAAAGGCAATTACTTAGTCTTGCTGAACCTTAGCTTCTGCTACTGTAGCTGTGGAGTTAAGTTGCTGTTAAGAATTAAATGAGAACTCTATTAAGTGCTTCACATGTAGTACAGACATAGTAAAGCTATGTATTTTAGGGAGTTGTCCCAAGACCAGAAGCCAAGAGAGACTAGAAGCCATAAGGGGTGGAGATAAACAGGTCCTGTTCCTTCAAAGTTCCGTTTTTATGGTAGCATGGTAGTGTTGCAGAATGTAGCCTAGGATACCAATACTTTAAAAATTGACATTAACTTCCTTTATCACATTTGTTTACTTCAAAAACATATTCTATAACTTTATTATTAATAAGAGAATTAAAACAAGGAAGCCAATAGCACCATGAGATTAGACTAACAAGATAGAAGAGATGAAGATGACTAGATCCCCAAATTCTAAGTGTGAATGAAGCCCGAGAGTTTATGAGACTACATTTGATACGAAATGTGGCACTGTGGGTTCATACGCTGGACTGTAATGTCAGTTTGAACCAACTCGACAGCACTTAACAACACGTTTATCACAAATTATCTTGTCTGTGCATGTTTGCATTCTTTAAATAAACATATCTGCCAAGGTTTCGGTTAAGGCATGGCCCCGTTTTAAATGTCTATATATACTAGACTCCATTCTCCATCTTTCCTCTTCTCCAGCCCATTCCTGAGTCAGAGTCACATTCGTAAAGCACAGTTTTGTTCAAAACCTTGTCAAGTCTTCTGTGCCTCTACGTAAAAGTTTTATGTAAAGCATTAAGCACAATGCCCGACAGAGTAAACAATCAATCTATAGTTGCAGTATCCTTGGATGACAGTGGTTGGTGGTTATGTGCTGTGGAGTAGGTTCTGACTCATAGTGACCCTGTATAAGGTTTCTAAAGCTGTAAACCTTTACAGAAGCAGAAAGCCTCATCTTTCTCCCATAGAACAGCTGGCAGTTTCAAACTGCTGGCCTTGAGGCTAGCAGCCCGATTCGTAACCACTACGCTACCAGAGCTCCTTTATCCTTGGATGATACAAACTGTTAATATGCTTGACTGCTAACTAAAACTACCAGTGTACCTCAAAAGGCCGTACAAGTCCACCCAGAGGGACTGAGAGGCATGGTGATCTCTCTCAGCCCAATTAGCCATGTAGAGCACAATTCTACCCTGTACAAATAAGACCACCGTGAGTCAGAATCAACTTGAAGGCGCCTGAGCCAACTGCTGTTCAGAACTCTTCATGAGCCTTTTCTCTCTCTTTCCTTGTCTGACTGCAGCATACGACCTTCTCCCCAGATTCTGCAGTACAGCTAAGTGGCTAACCCAGGGTCTTCACTGTGAACTATGGGTTCCTCTTTCTGCTTTTATTCAGGTTACTCTCGAATGCGTCTATTTTGACCAGTTAACAGTCCTGCCCATCATTCAAGACGCAGCTGAAGGTTGTGCTTTCATAATACTTCTCCTAATAGGCTTCTCTCCCCCTCCGCCTTCCTTTTATATAAATCAATTCATTTCCTTGAATTCGGTAAGTACTATTGCTATTAATTGGTATCAAGTTAGCTCTAACTCATAGCGAACCTGTATAGGGTTTCCAAGAAGCAGCTGGTGGGTCTGAACCACTGAACTTATGGTTAAGTAGTCAAGTGGCTATCCAACTCATAGCAAGCCTGTATGAGTTCTCCAGGAAGTAAATCTTTACAGGAGCAGAAAACTTCATCTATCTCCCTCAGAGTGGCTTGTAGATTCAAATTGCTTACCACAATAAGTACTGAGTGAAAGTACTTAATAATCTTTTTTTTTTTTTTTTTGCTAATTACTTTCTAACATTTTTTTCTCCCTATCCTAATACCACCTGGCAGAAATAAGAACCAACATGCATTGATTACTTTTTATGTGGTAGCTTTGGGCTACTCCCTGTAACATGTATTAGCTCACGGAACCCTTACAACCTTATCACTACATAATTGTGATGTGAACTTCTGAAGTCCTGGCGGAATGCTGCAGAATAAGCACTCACTGAACCACGAGGCTGTTGGTGGTTCAAACCCATGGCCGCTCCTTAGAAACACTATACAAGGTCGTTATGTAAAGTGAGCATGATTTTATATGCAGTCAGCAGTTTAGATAGTGTTGGTTCTGCTGTGCACAGGGTTGTTATTGAGTTGGAGCCAACTCGAAGGCACCTAAAAACAAGGACTTCACATCTTGCCCTGTGCTTTAAAATATTCCCTCGTATCCAATTTCTAGCTCCTTAAGTAGGAGCCACACCTTTGCATTTCATAGGATCTGGGCAGTGCCCTTCCAAACCCCACTGCTTTCGAGTTGATTCGACTCCTAGTGAGCCTACAGCACAGAGGAGAGCTGCCCACAAGTTCCTAGGGTGGCAATCTTTATAGCAGCAGACTGCCAGTTTTCTTCCGTAGAGTGGCTGGGGGTTCAAACCCCTGACTTTCCAGTTAGCAACTGAGCACTAAAACGCTATGGTACTAGGGTACAGGGTACAGAGCAGCAGAATGAAATGAATTTTTACAAAAAAAAGCTATTCGCTTCACTTTACTGCATATAAACCAAGCTATTTTTATCTCTTTCAGAAAATACAGAAACTGAAGTATTCCCAATATTCTCTCTCATTGGAATACACTCTTCTTTAATTGAAGTCAGACACAGTAAAGCATGTATTATTTTAAAATATAATCTTAATTTTAAACCATCTGATCCTTACCAGTAAGTCCCACTTTCTTCCTGCACATGAAACAGCGATTCTTTTTTTGTTTTGGTTTTTCAAGAGACTTGGTTTGCTCTTCGGATGGCTGCTGTGCCGTATCTGGTACTGAAGCTAACAAAAGTAGAAACGTGGCAAAACTTAATTATTCAATAAGATTTTGATATCTGAGTGATATCTCTCTCTCATCCCCACTGATCCCTGTGACTATCTGAGGAACGATTCACTTATTAACACTGGATTACAAGGTGCCCTCTTAAAATCTACATGTAACATACACACATGCAGAAAATAACCTAAGAGAATATACAATGGTAAGCCAAAAACCACTGCTACTGGTGTGGCAACTTGTAGGATCAGCACCAGACTGAGGACCACAAAGCTGGCAATTAAAACCCACCAGTAGCCCTTTGAAATTCTACACAGGGTTGCTGTGAGTCGGAACCGACTCGACGGCACTGAACAACAACAACATTAAAAGCTTCAGTTCATACATGCACAGGTTCATTCCAAAACAAAACTTATTTAAACATGCCTCTGTGAGCAGTGGACGGCTGCAGACAAGTTCTCTCAGTAACAGACTTGTCTTAGTATCTATCATCAGGATGCCTTCAAAAAAGTGCAATAAAAATAGTGGCTTCCTAGGGGATCTGCTAGGCCAGTTAAATTCAAGACAGGTAGGTTCAGATGGTATTATAACAGTAACTGTTTGAGGGGGAATCCAAGCAGTTACCTTGATAGATTTTCTCAAATGATAGATGGTCATGGGTATAAACCAACGAGTAATGAACTCTTCAGGGAAAGGTAAGAGAGATGGAAGCACTACCTTTAGAAGTACATAGCTGGAGATGGAAGAGATGCTGACAAACTATAGCTTCATGTTTTGATATTTTTGTTTAATAAAGACTTCTATGATTTTGTAGCAATACTTTGTAGATTACAACTGGGCTGCTAACCACCAAGTCGGGAGTTCAGACCTACCTACCAGTTGCTCTGCAGGAAAATCCTGTAAAGATTTACAGCCTCGGAAACCCTATGAGGGTCACTATGAGGCAGACCCGACTTCATGGCACGTAACCACCACCAGTGGCTAATGGCTCATACACTGACTTATCAATACTGGATCTATAAGGACAACCTAATAGGTCAGCAACTTCTTTGGGCTTAACTGCATTTTTTAACTTTTCTAATAATTATATATTGAGTCCTGGTGTGACACTGTAAGGATAAGCACTAGACTACTACCTGCAAGGTTGGTGGTTCAAATCCACAGTTGTGCCACAGAAACCTACAAAGGGTCGCTGTAAGTCAGAAGCAACTTGACAGCACTTTAACAACAACAAACCAATAAAAGGTACAGACACTAATACTATTTGGGGATTCTGAGACAGTATATAAGAAAGTGGTCATAACATATACTTCCGGTGTGGCATGGTGCTGTAGGATAAACACTGGACCATAAGGTAGCTTTGAACTGCAAGGTCAAACCCACCATTCATTCCTCAGAAACTGAGTCAGAAATGGCTTGACAGCACTTAACAACAACAAATGTCATCCAGGGTGGGAACTACGTAGATGTCTCAGAGAACAAGAAAAACAATGGGAAATAAAGATTCAGCAGAGTATTAAATATATTTTAAAGTTCTGAATACTAAGTATGTTTACAGTTCTAAGTATTTCACACTAAAGCTTAAATAAAACCAAGGTCAGCAGCAACAAGGTTCAAGTTTCTGTTTCTGATTTTTCCTGCTGGTCTTTCTTTCAAGAAGGAATCTTCTATTCCTCTAGCTGCTCCAGGTTGGTTTGCTTGTCCTTTCCAGTGGGCATGAACAAGCTCTTAACCTCTCCATGTTTACACCACCAACTAGTCTTTCCCTTGAATCCACTGCGGAACCAATTGATTCTGGAGTCTACACTCTGAGCCTTTGCTCACACCTTTTACAACCTATTCCTAAGGACTTCCTGTGCTCTTTCCCTTATTTGATCTAGATCTCCTCATTAAGGCCCAAGAACCATTTCTTCTAGGAAGCTTTCCTTGTCTCAGTTCACTACAGCTTCTTATTATAGGTACCTTTAATACTCTTAATGTTGTTATGTTAAATGTCATCAAGTCAGTTCGGACTGCTTATCCTACATCACCACACAAGAGCTCCAATACACTTAATATTTGTTGTTACTAAATGCCACCAAGTCAGTTCCAACCCACAGCGACCATGTACAGGGTTTCTGAGGAGCACACGGTGAGCTTGAACCACCAGAAACCGACTTTGCCGTCCAGCACATTAACTCACAGGGCCATACCAATACTCTTAATAGTCTCTAGCAAACACTGAGCACTTCATATGTGACCCCTCTCTCACACTGCAACCAGTCACCAGCCATAAATGAAAATCGAACAATAGACTCTAGTTAAAAAAAAACCTGTATGGCTTCTCACCAGCATAGTTCAGAGTACTTCATCATTGTCTATCTTTCTTTCCTCAGAATTCTCTCTCACTGTACCTCAACGACACTCCATGTTTGAGCCACACTACTTGAATATCCCTGAACATATCAAATTTTTACCCAGCTGAACTTTTGAGTAAGTTTTTTCCCTGTCTACATGGACTATTCTTCCCATGTGCTTCTCGCCCCTCTCTCCACTGGGCTAATGCTAATTAACTGTTGTATGGGCTCACACCATCAAATCCTTACTTACCCTAGCCCTTCTACCCCAAAGAGTACTTTATATAGTGTGTGATACTTCCTTGTTGGCCTTCTATGACTTGATGGTGGATTCTCTGTAGGCAGAAACATGCCCTTTCTGACCCTGTTGACAGTGCCTACCACTAATGCCTGCTATACCATAGCAAGCACTCAATAAAATCTGTTGAGTTGAATTAGTTACCAATTTATTTACATGCCTTGTACCCAAACTGCATACAGCAAGCCCACTGAGAAGAGCGGTGGTATCTTATCCTGTTTGAATCTCCAGAAGCCAGCACAGTGCTACATGTAATAGATACTCAAGTATTTTCTGTAATGGATGCCAGCTAGCTTATGCTAACAGCTGATCCTCATTTAATGAAATACAACAAAAGACAAAATATCACAAACTAATAAACAAATCTGTACTATTAAAATAGACTATCTAAAACCTTATATATGAGAGTCCACATACAGAATCAATGAACATCAGTTATGCCCCCATGAGACTCAGGTAAACTAAGCTTACATAAAACTAGTGGCTGACAGCCTGACTTTAAACATTCCCCAAATGATTCAGGGACATGAGGACAACAGAGCCCTGTGTGAAAGTATAAGCTTCACAGAAATGACACCACTTCCTCTGTTTATAGGTGAATTTTAAGATCAAAGCTTGACTTATCAAATTCTCATTGTATAAAAGCAAATTAGTAAGAGGCATACATTGAACTAATGGCAAAGGACCATAATCTCACTGAGACAAAGGCAGTTTGCTGAGAACGAGGTAGCTTTTCATATTCTGAAATGAGAATCAAAAACACAGATCAAGTGACTGCCTCTGTTGCAGCCATTGGTCCCAGTGGTCTGTGTGGGAGGCCTACGGGTAATACTGAGGCTGGCGTTATAAGCTGTTCAGCATGTGTCAACTTCATTTTTATGGGAATCTCAACTAGACAAACTCTACTGAACACTACTCTTAAGATACTTCAAAAAGCCCCGGACAGGGAAAATGAGTTTAACTACCCACATGGAGGATCACATTCAAGAGGAACAACGCCCTCTGCTCTGGGTTCTGTAAAAAAAAAAAAAAGAAAGAAAGAAAAAGCACACAAATATAATAATAAAGACATGCAACTATTCAGTACTGTCCATTTGAAGGCATATTCATACACAGGGAGGAAAACATAAGATTGACTATAAGATAACATTCATACATAAACCCCAAACATTACTTAATTGCAATCCACTTGGTCTCCGCAGTACAACAGAATCAGTATCCCTTCTCTCAGAGAGTTGCAATAAGTTTTTCATTCAAGCATTTTGAGGCCAGAGACTGTTTCTGTTCACTACTGTACAACCACTGCTGACAAAGAACAGGTGCTCGGTAGATACCTACCGAATGTTTAATATACAGGTTCACAATGACAACAGGGATAAAATTCATTTCCCCTTGTTAGACCTTAGAAGCAAAATGAGGAGTTGGATCAAATGATCCTTAAGTCACTCTTAGCTCAAAAATTCTGTGGAAATTAGAAAATGTTAAATGCTCAAGAGAGGAAGCCTCTACAGAAGCAGCAGTTAGCACGTACGTATTCTGGTGTTTTCTAGTAACCATATTAAAAATTAAAAAGAAACAGGTGAAATTAATTTTAATAATATATTTCAATAGGTGCTATGGGTTAACATGTCAGACCACAAAGTCGTTTGAACTGCAAGATCAGTAGTTCAAACTCATCATCCGCTCTTTGGAAACTATACAGGGTCCCTATGGGTCTGAATCGACCTGACAGCACTTAACAACACCATGTCCAAAATACTGTTGCTTCAAAATATATTCATATATACAATAATTCTGAATAATTCTTCCCTATCTATCAATCAGATCCAAAGACAGTCATTTTCATTATCTGGTTCCCAGGAGTCTTTCCTGTTTCAGTCCCAATATAAACCTGCCTGAACCCGTGAGCTCAAACAACAGATTTTGTGAGTTTCATGTTTTCCAACCTGACTATTTTTGCTTTCTCATATTTCTCCTCCAGGAAAATCCCTCTTTTCTGTGCCTGGCTCTGTATTTTACTTTTTAAGATGTAATTTACATACTATAAAATTCCCCCTTCACCACTAATTCCAGGATATTTTCATTTCCTGCAAAATAAACTTCTATTCTCCCATTCCCTTCAATAAGTAAATGCTCATTTTTTTTTGTCTCTGAAGATTGTTTATTGTGGCTATTTCATATACACAGACTCATACAATATGTGCCCTTTTGTGCTTTGTTTTCTTTAACTTAATGATGCTTTGAAGATTCATCCATAGTGTAGCATGTAACAGTACTTGACTCAGTTTTAAGGCTATTAATCCATTATATTTATATACACACATACACACACACTGTATTTCCTGATGAGTATGAGGAACACACTGTGTGTTTGATTTGCAGTCCTCTGATGGTTAATGATACTGAACATCTTTCCATGTGTTTATTGGTCAAGAGAAATGTCTATTTAATAAAGCCTTGGCCCATTTCTTAATCCAGTTACTTGTATTTCTATCATTACACTGTTAATAGTTCTTTATATATTCTGGATATTAGATCCTTATTGGGTAGAAAGTTTGTCAATAGTTTATCACCTTCTGTAGGCTTGTCTATTCACTCTATTATCAGAGTCCTTTGAAGCAAAAAAGTTTTAAATTTTGATGCAGTTCTATTTATCTACTGGTTGATTATGCTTTCAGTATCAGATGATATCTAGAAATCATTGCCTAATTCAAGGTCATGAAGAATTACTTACCCCTACATTGTTTTCCGTGAAAGTTTTAGCACTTTCATTTAGATCTCCAATTCATTTTGAGTTAAATTTTAAGTATGGTTTGAGGTATGAATTCACTTCTTTCGCATGTGAATTAGAAAGGACTTCCCAGGCTTATTTGCTGAGCGCTATTCTTTCCCCATTCAATAACATTACTACCACTTTTCAAAATGAACTGGCCATACATGTAGCTATTTATTTTTGGATTCCCAATTCTATTCCATTTATATGTCTATTCTTAAGCTAGTATCACAAAATCTTGATTACTGTTTTTTGCAAGAAATTTCGACATCAGAAATTTGTGAGTTCTCCAACTTTGTTCTTGCACCGAACTACTAACCACAAGGTTGCCAGTTCAAATCCACCAGGTGCTCCTCAGAACTCTATGGAAGGTCACTAAGAGTCAGTATCGACTTGATGGCTCTTAATACAACAACTTTCTTACACTAGTCCAAGAGACTGGTATTCTCTGTTTTAAATTACTTATTTGGCAATTTCACCTCATACAGAGTCAGGAACCCTCAGAGTTGAAAGAGACTGAAAATTCTAGTTCAACCTACACTCAGTGTAGTGGTCCGCGCTACACTGCCCCTGATAACTCAGCTCTGTTACAGCGCTTTGATGATGGATAGTTTGCTATCTCAGCAATGATTGCTCCCTGCTATTGGAGAAATATTATGGCCTGAAAATAACTTCACAATTCTTATCCTAAATTCTTAGCCCAAATCATTGTAGCATTATAAAGAATATTTGCAAGGAATCTTGGTGTGCCACTGTAGGATAAGCACTGGACTGCTAACTGAAAGATCGGCAGTTGAAAGCCACCAGCTGCTCCTCAGAAACCCTATCCAGGTTCGCTATGAGTCAGAACCGACTTGATGTCACTCAACATCTCCTTTCAGTTTACAGAGTCACCTCACCTCTGCTGCCTCACTGACTTCTGCTCCTCTATAAAGGTGACCACACAGTCCTGATGTGACGCTGCACGATAATGCACTAAAGACTGCAAGGTCAGCAGTTCAAATTCACCAATGATACCTTGGAAACCCCATACAGGGTCGCTGTGAGTGGAAACCAACTCAATGGCACACAACAACAATCAGTATAAAGGTGAACATGGTTCCTATTTTCCTTCAAAAGTAGCGAAAGCTCAGAAAAAATGAGCGGGGATAGCAAGGACTTATATGAATGCAGCTATTCTAAGTAAAAATTTCACACTTTTTTTTACTAGGACCCAAGATCTGGGTACTGATAGGTTCCTTGAAGCTAAGGATATTGTTCAATAAGGTAGGTGGTCAAAGTATGATATTTTAGAGTACATCAAAATGCTACCAGTTTGTTTTTTTTTAGGCTAACTAGCTCTTGTGAACTAGAAATCTGACTTACATCTCCCTAAGTAACAATAGGAGCTCTGGTAGCGTAGTGGTTACGAATCGGGCTGCTAACCTTAAGGTCAGCGGTTCGAAACTACCAGCCGCTCCGCGGGAGAAAGATGAGGCTTTCTACTCCCGTAAAGATTTACACCCTCGGAAACCCTGTACAGGGTCGCTATGGGTCGGACCCGACTCGACGGCACTTAACAACAACAACAACAACAAGTAACAACAGAAGTATTGTTGTTACTTTTAACATTAAGAAGCATAAATAAATGAGAACCATGCAGCAATATGTGAAATTCTTAGTTAACAAGAGGAAAAGTCATCAGAGCCACGACAACAGTACCACCCAGCTGGTGGCAGCACATCCTAATTCTACACAGACTACCTGCCGAGAAAAGAGCTGCGCAGGAGACATCAGCCAGAAAACTCCAATAACAAAATGCTCCAACACTGCGGCTCACAGGCCCAACGACTCATGTGCAGCCTTCTAGCTGAGATGACCTTCCTCACCACTCAGTAAATGTCCTCTGAAGGCGACACAGGCAGTGAGAATGGTAGAAAACAGGTAACTGGCTAGCTCGTCAAACCAGATGAACTCATTTGGGGAGCAGAGGGAGGCTGGATACGACAATAGGAACATACACATCCATGACCCGGTCCAATGATCCAGTGGAGACAATAATGGCCTCAAGCGGCCATATAACCTGAGTCAAGAGATTTTTATGTCTCTTTTCATCTATTTATTAAATACATTAACAAAAATTCTGTGTTCATTTCTATCCAGCAGGAAAATCGTAAGGGCATGTATGCATTGTTAAGTGCCGTCGAGCTAGTTCTGACTCACAGCGACCCTGTATATACGGTCTCCGAGGCTCTAAATCTTTGTGGGAACATAAAGCTTCAACCTGTGTGTATGTGTGTTATGAGACTATATACAAATGTATGAGTCTGTGTTTAATAGGTGAAGGTATTCTTAATTCAACAATACACATATATGCTAAAATATTTTTAAAATCTAAGGCTCTCAAGAGATTTTCCACACTGAAAACTAATAAACTGAGATGCAATTTATACCTGATTTTCTCAGATTCCATGATGATAAAATTATGAATGCTAACTTTTTATCATTTGAAAGTTAATACAGATTTAATCTAACAGTATTTCATATAATATATTGAGGGGAAAAATAAGTCTATAAATAATAGAAACCATTTGCATTAACACACAATGGTGAAGCACAGAGGATCTTATCATTTTCAAAACACTGTGAGTGGCGTACAAGTACTTCGTATTTTATGACAGTTCACCAGATCTCTCAAAACATAAACCTCTTCATAATTACCATAGTGTTTTCCTTCGTCCTAACTCAGTTAATGACAAAGAACCTCTGTTTCTTCATAGTCTCATTCAGCACAGGACCAAATGATAACCAGAATCTAGACAGCTAACTCCTCTGCAACTTTGATGGTTTGGTATTCTCCTTGCTGCACTTATGTATAACCTCTGGCTTTTTAACCTATGCCAAGGACTTCAAAATCTCAGGCCTAAGCCTGATCACACTAAATCACTCGGTGCCGTATTGGCCACAGTACTTATTATTGGTATTGTCGTTGTTGTGGGCCATCGAGTTGGTTCTAACAGAGACCCTTGTATAGGGTTTCTGAGAACAGCTGGTGGGTCTGAACTGCTGACCTGTGGTTATTACAAAAAATACAGTGCCACATCAGGATTCCATAAAGAGGGACAAAAACAAAACACAACAAAAAATGGATTGTTTTCAGTGTAGTTTATCTTAATGTTAAAGTCAGGGAGTTGTATCATAAAACCAGAAGCTTTTGCACCCCCCTGTGTTCTCATTTCCTACGCAACTGAGTATCTACCTCTTATGATGGCTTCCATTTCTGCCCTTCCTTAAGCTTTTTCACTTAACTAAAAAAGAAAAATTACTTACTTACAATCATTTAGAAAATTTATGCTAACATACTAGGCAGACTAGAATATTTATGTCAGGCACATAATACATTTTGTGGCTAAGAAAGCCTCTAGACAAATGCTCGAGTCTTCCTAAATCACTTCGATCCATATAAAGGGGACATGAAAAGTGTGGGCAAGAACATGAGTCACCAAACTGTGAACATAAGTAACTGAATGGGGACTATTACACTCCAAAGTCACAGATGATGAGGCCAGCAAAGTCACAAGTATGACTGGCATCCAAGTCACAAGTGTCTCAGACAATTAAAAAAAAAAAAACAACAGACCAGGAGAAACAAATCCTCCTTAGACCAACAGTTCCACTTTGCTTAGAGAAAACAGTTCAGATTAAACCAGTCAAAATAGCAAAACATAATAGTATAACATCACTACCTGTTAATTTAATTAGGTTTCTTAAACTAAAGATGTTTTACATTTTCTACATTGGATGCAAATAATATGCAATCAGGTTTTGATTGTAGGAAAATTCCATTTTTCCACAAAGTTTCTGAGGAAATGGCTCTGCAGTATTTCAGTATATTACATACCTGAGTATATAAAATGCTGTCTTAAATAAAAAAAAAAAATATATATATATAACTAGCATGTCAATACACGTGCTTCATCATAGCACTGACCTATAATACTCAAAATGTTGAACAGATGACAAAATACAAACTAGTTCATAACGAACCTTGCAGATCTTCTGTTTCAGATATTGCTTTATCCAGAGATGTACTGTCCACTTGGGAAGATGCTACAGATTCTGATAAAAGTGACTGATTTGATACAGGGCTAGAAAAGCAAGCAAAAATATTTATATTTTAAAAGATGATCTCCACATGTGAATTATTAACTAAAGTGATATTATATAACAAGTAAGAGAAAATGAAAACCAGCATTAAAAAGATGTGCTTAAAAGAATCCCAACACAAAGCTATAAATAATGTACTGGTATAGCAGAATTGAACATTTATCATGAATGTGGGAAAAAACAAACCATAGAATAGAAATTTTGAATCTACTAACAGAATAAAATGAAACAAATATTTCTGCCTTGTTAGGCTTAATGATACTTTTAAATAGAAAAAAAAATGTCCCATGCTACAAGACAACACAGTTACAAAATCATGGCAATTAAACAAAGAGAATCTGTGGCAAGACTCAATTTTCAAATACAAATTCTATTACTTGCAGAGTAAGACTAAAACACAAAGAACGTAACATGTCTCAAAAGGATTTCAGGGGCAAGTCAGGATATAGGATGAAGAAAAATAAAAAGAAGTCCGAAAAGGAACCTGACATAACAGAGAAACTGCCTTTGTTTTGCAATTACAGTTCAGAGACTCGCGCTTACCTTGGCTGCATAGATGAAGATGTGAAGTCTAATGATGATGACTGAGCTTCGGGAACACTGCCATCTGAGCACTGAACAGGTAATGACTCAGACAGACTACTGACAGAAGCTGCTGTAAGAGAAGCACACTTACTTCATATGAATGATTCTGTACTCTGGGCAGTCTAAGACCTTATCTAAAAACATCAAGATCTGTTTTCCACAAAATATAATATAGTATAAAGATACAATATAGTGCTGCTTCATTATTTTTAGCTAAAATTTTTTCAATCAGTTACCAAAATTTTTGTTAATATTAAGAAGGGAACGATGTATAAACTGTACATAATCTATAAATGTAACTCTTATTTCTCATTACTGAGCTCACCTAAACCCCAAAGCATTAGTTCACAAATTATCATCCAAATACAAATATGCAAATTACATATTTGAAATAAAAGGTATTTTAGGTGTAAAGTAGACACGGGTTCAGAGTGAATATTTCTGCTTAGTACAGTGCTGCTGTGTGCCATCGAGTCAGATCTGACTCACAGCAACCCTGTGTAGGGTTTCTGAGACTGCAAATCTTTACAGGAATAGAAAGCTTCACCTTACTGCAGCCAAGAGGCTGGTGGATTTACACTGCTGACCTCGCAGTTAGCAGACCAACACGTAGGATATTGTTTTTCCTGTACTTTATATGGCAGAAATAAAGAGGAGCATTAAAAAACAATCTATATTCATTTGAAAAAATAAATAAGAAAATTTGGAAACATTTAAATGAGATGGTTCTAGCTTGGGGCTTGAAAATGAAACCCTGAAATGAAAGAGCCCATACAAAATTTAAGTATATAACTCTATGTACTTCCATTAACCATAAAAGTCATCCAAATACAAGAACCAAGGTCTTCATATAGTCTCCATTCTCTTATACTTTGCTTTCCAAAACAGTTTTGTATACTTGAGATTTGACTCTATTTTAATAAGGCGTGGGGAAAAAACTTCTGCAGCCCAGTTATAAAAAAAGCCATGGACTAGATCTGTAGTGGTTTTTAATAGGTAGAGGTACTCTCAATCCTTGTTCCCCACTGACAATCACAGTGTGCAATGTGAAACTTCGCTGATACACGGTACAAAAGTACAACATGAGAGGAGAAAAATGTCTTAGGCACTGAACTAACCAAGTGCATTTCAATACAGTGTTCTAACAGACTGACTTACCAGGTGGGCTTATTCTACCATTACTACTGTTCTGTCTTTGAAGATGTTCTTTATAGCATACTGAACACATGCCATTTGTACGAGGATTTCCATAAAATCCGCAGCCAGTGGAACAAAGCATAGGCACTTGGCTGTGATTAGTTTCTTGAGCCATGTTTCTCAGTTGCACACCTGAAATTTACAGAGAATTAGTAAATAATTCAGACACAAAACTATGATTGTATATTATCCAAATCTGCTTTATATATATAATAAAGGGAAAACGCTCATATTTCCCTAAACCACTCTAAAACAGTTGTCTCTATACATGTGGCACTGTAGGTTCAGCACAGGACTTCGAACCACAAGGTTGGTAGTTCAAACCCACCAGTTGCTCTTCGGAAATCCTACACAGAGGAGTTCACTGAGTCAGAACCGACTAGATGACATATAACAACAACAACATACGTAAGAAGTAAGGTAAGAGAGAAAAAATTAAAGCCAAAAGAACTCTCACTGAACTTCCATTGCTAACCCAAACTACACAAACACATCTCTGCGGGCTCAGAAAGAATCAAGTACTCCTAGAGAGTGATTTGTTCTGAAGACTGTACCACCAGAATGTTCTGGAAAACCCTTTCAGTCTAGTTCCACTGGGACTCTCCTAATGACAAACACACACTTTACATTTCACTCTGTATTTATACTGTTTAAATTCTAAGCATTTAAACTTTCGCTGCAAGTTCAAGTATTATTTTCTGTCATTTGTTCTTTTTAAAAAGCATTTAACATACTATCAATGCTGGTGAGAAGAAAAAAAACTGGTAGAACTTGTAAAAGATTTCCTCTGAGCTGGTCATTCTACTTTGAGGGTCTTATTCTAGAGTATAATCAGAAAAAGAATAAAAATAATATACAAAATGTGCTTCAAAGCACAAACTGAAAATGATCGCTGCGTTCAACATTATGAAAATGGGTTCTTTAAAAATATGGTCCATAGTAACAACAACAAAATTAGAGTCATTAGAAATATGCTAGAATACTTTTTAAGGAGCAAAACACTGATAATGAAAAAGCATAATATGAAATAAATATATACATATATATAATATGTAGCTAAATAATGACAAAAAGACTACCTATCCAACATCACAGAAGACAGGAAAGAACATATCAAAGCTAATGGTGGTTTTTTGTTATTGTTGCTGGTTTAAAATAATGATAATGACTCCTTAATTAAAAAGCCAAAACCCACAATACTCTTATAAAGTATTAAAGCAAAACCAAACAGCACGACATTAGATGGACAGATGAACCGGTCAACTAGTCAGGTGCTGCTGTGAGGCTCTGGTCTGGGAGGAAATGGAAGGATCCCACTGTGCCTTTACTGCATCAAGCAAATGGCTATTTGGCATGAATATCATGAAGAGGACAAAAGCATGTTCTCCTTACTGAAAACAAAACAAACTCCTAACTAAGGGTGAATTTACATAAAAAATCATGAAGAATTAAGACTAATCACAGAGGGAAAGATGTTTTGCCACTGAAACTACCTTGAAAGATAAACATTGGAGGAAAAGAATTCTGTTTACTGTTACCAAATTTTTACTTGCCAAAATTATTTGAAGAGTGTATTGAAGGAGTTTTAATGCAAATTCCAAACCAAGTGAAATGATGTACTAGACTATACTACAAAACAAAGGAGCAAGGTTGGCATATGCCTTTAAATAGCATTTTCTTTAGTCTAGAGATATAACTTGGCATTTTACAAACATCTTTCTTACTCCATTGTGGCAAGTTGCTTCAAAATTTAATCTTTATTGCTCTGTTGTGTATATTACTTCCTCCTTCTCCTCCCCTAAAGGATTATAAATATACTCATCAGATTAATATATAATCATCACAATGGGAAAGAAACGCTAATGTCAAAAGTTTTGCTGAGATCCAGAATCTTCAGAAGTGGGAAATTTCTACTTGAAAGGATGGACAGACCAGCCTGGAGCAGCTTTTCCTTGAAAGAAAGACCCACAAGAAAAATACGAAACAATATAGGCAGACCGACTGATTACTACAAGAACAAACAAGTGGCTCGCCCAGGAGACATCAAGGCAAGTGGTCGGGTCCCCTCAGAGCAAACTCCCTTCCAAGACTAAGACTCAATGGGAATACAAACTCTGATTGGTGACCATACTCATCACCGATAAGGGCAAGTGAGGTAAAAACAGCAATGAAGCTGTGAGCTAAGCCCAACAACATTCAACAGACTCCTGTGAACCCAGGTGGAGGTCTGGTTGGCCAGCGGTGTGGCAAGACCTGGGGAATCTTGGGCCCAGAGTCAGTGACACAGCCACAGAGGACTAGAATGGAGAGTGAAGCATCCAGCTGATAAGAAGAGAGTGGATATGCACAAGAACAGCCACATTTGCAGATAACACCCACTTGATGTGGCTTCAATGATTGGATGATCAGATCTCAACCAGAAGAAGAAAGAAGAGGAAAAAAAGAGCCATCTGATACAATTTGATGAACCTGACCTACACCTATGGATGCAACAGCTCAAATGAGGGAACAAATCTTTACAGCAAGGATCATTCCCACCCCCCTCCATACCCAGAGTAGACAGGGATGGGCAACTTGGACACTGGCTACCCAAAGTGAGAGAGGGGAGGCTACAAAGGCAAGAAGTGACTGGCTTACAAGCTTTCAAGAGGGAACCTAGATCCAGAGGGTGTGGAGGAAGGTAGAATCTCCACTGAGTAGTACCCAATCTGTCTAGGTAGGGTTGATGAAAGCAAATGCAGATAGGTCTTTTGTGATAAAACAGTGAATAATTTTTATCAGGACTGATTGTGAGAGTTGGAAATGTAAAGGTAGGCATTTTGTAACAAGGAGGAGAGTGATTAATTATGCAGTCTAGGAGCGGAGGTCCCTGGGACCATCAAGGGAGAAGAGCAGAGAGCAGGACCCTACCCAGAGAGGCAGTGATGCCAGAGATGGAGGCATAGACAATGACATGGAGAGATGGAGCAGCTGGGGACTTCAGACCCAGAGAGGGAGAGTGGCTGACAACCAGGGAGCAGGCTTGTACAGTTGGTTGCTTGATGATACATGGAAGGGATTGTAACAATGGCAATGAAATGATACACGATATGGATGTATGTAAAACGAATGTTCTCCCATGTAAACTATCACATAATTCACAACAAACATTGAAAAAAAAATTTTTTTTTTTTTTTTGATGAGGATTTCTCCACCTATGTTCCTAAGAGCTATTGCTCTGTAATTTTACAAGGGGACTTCAAAAAGTCCATGGAAAAATGGAATGAAAAGATAATGCTTTTTTTTCCCCCCACAAACTTTTTGAGCCCTTCATAATATACCATGTACTATCAAAAGAACAAACAGAACTGTGTTGGAAGAAGTGCAGCAAGAGTGCTCCATCGAGGCCACAAGGGCCAGACTTCGTCTCTCATACTTTGAACACACTGTCAGGAGGAACCAGTCACTGGAGAAGGACAGCATGTTTCGTAAGGTGGAGGGTGCGAAAAAAAGAGGAAGATGACCCCTAATGAGACGGATTGGTCCAGTGGCAGCATCAATGGGTTCCAGCATAGCAATGATTGTGAGGTTGGCCCAGGATCGGGCAGTGTTTTGTTCTGTTGTGCACAGGGTCACTTTGAGTTGGTATCCACTTGATGGAACCTAACAACAACGTATGTTTTATAGTGTCTTGTTCTAGTTTCAATGATTGTTCAAGGTCAGTAGCTTAGATGGAGCTGGGATTCAACCCAGGTAGCGTGGCTCTGGAGATGCAATATTGGACTGCAAACTGCAAGGTCGGTGCTTCAAACACACCACCTGCTCCTCAGAAATCCTCTACAGGGTGCTGTGAACTAGAACTGCCTCTGTGACACTTACCAAGTGTGACTCCAGAAATCAAGCTCTCAATCACAGGTTGGCAAAGTGTGGCCTGTGGACCCCTGCTAAGGTCAAAGCTATTTTCACAATAACATTATTTGCCATGTTGACACGTATACTGACAGTAAAACTACTGGCACCTTATCAAGAAGCCACATCAAGGCAGCAGCCCAAACCTTGATCCATTGTGCTTATATAGTCTTCATCATTTCATCTTCGTGATAAACTGCAAAGTGAACAGAAGAGCACTCTAGTTTTCTGATTGTCTTAGGAAGTACTTGTGCAACTTAGGAAGTACTTGTTGCTTTCTTTATGGGAACACATTTTTTTATTTGAAAAACTGACCAATTCTAGTTATTTAGATTTAGGTATATGGCAGGCATTTACTTGAAAATGAATGAAGTAAACCTATTGTTTCAAGGAAACAATATTGTAGTTGTTTAATTACAATAAAACCAGCAAACCTCAAACCTGTATAAGGTGGAAACCTGCCAAAGAAGGAAAACACAAGACTAAGACAAAGTGGATTAACACTAGATCAAAAACATGAGATGTTAGGAAGGCAGTCACAGCATTTGTTGCCAAGGACAGAACTCAAGCATTCAGGCATAAAACTCTTAACAAGTGTCTTCCAACACTTGCGTTTCTGATGACAGCAATAATGGTTAGCTGATATGATATCAACATCTGGAAGGTGTGCTTTAAGTCAGCGAACCAATATTTCCCAAGTGAGCAATGTAAGATGGCATGAAATTAATCAGGAGCAAAAGATCCATTCAAAGTGAGAGCTAAGACAATTAATTCTAAAATAATGGAACAAACCTTTTACAGAGTTTCAGATTCCACATTGCAACTATCCTTTAAGAAATTCACCAACTGTCAAGTTTTGAAGAAGTATTCAAAGAAGAACCCTGTCTACTATCTGAAAAAGCGATACAATATTTCTCCCAGTTTTGACTATAACTTAGAATTTATAACAATGCAACAAGATTCAATGCAGAGGCAGGTCTGAGAATGTTGTTGTTGTTTTCTATTAAGCCAAACCTTAAAAAGATGCAAACAGGCATATGCAATACCACTAGTTTCATGAAACAATTTTGGGGGGTGGTGCTTATTTTTCATAAATTATTGTAAAGAATGTAAAGACAAAAAAGTCTGAGAGTCAATGGCTATAAAATCATGTATTTTCCATGCAGGTGATGTAAGGTGGATTTAAAAATGTGGAAAAACTTTATTATCTTTTAGTTCCGTTTTCTAGAAACTTTTTGAAGTCT